TGAGATGTAGGGCTTTGGTTCATTTCTGTGACACTTGTATGTCTTGATGATATAAAATCATGATTCTTCATTTATCAAATAGTGTTCTCTTTGAAATTCTAGTTCAGAACTTTCTCCAGTAGCCTTTTATCTATATTTGGAGTGTTGTTTCTGGTTTTTAAAATTAATTTTAATGATAAAGAAATCTCAATGAGACAGTTACAATAATTAATGCATTGCATATTGTCTCTTCATAGTAGTTATTCAGAGTACGAGATGCAGACATGGTATCTTGTCTATAAACTATTAGTACAAATATAGCTGTATATTTGTCCTATTTTGTATATATATATATATATATATATATATGTATTTTTTCACTAGAAAGGATTACTTCATTTTTATTCATCTTTTTTGTTTTGTTTTATCAGAGATGGGTATTCCATTGCCATTCAAATATTGTAATTGCTTGAATTCAGCAAAATAGCTCAATATAGTCAAATTGTCCATAATAGTAGTGGATTATCAGCAGAACTGGCAATTGCACAAATTGTTGACTTGAACCTTTTATAGTTGAGCATATTAATATGGCTTTACAGTTAACAGATGCATATAGAAATGCAAATAACATCAACCCAATGAAAAACACACCAAGACATATAATAGTCAAGATCCCAGAAATCCAGCACAAGAATAATATATTAAAAGCCACAAGGGAAAAGAAATAGATCACATTAAAAGAAAACCTATCAGAATAATGGCAGACGTCTCTTCACAAACCATGAAGTCAAGAAGAGCATGGGGCAAAGTACTGCAAGTCCTCCATGAAAAAATAAATCCAGCCCAGACCGCTATACCTTGAAAAATTCTCAAGTTTGATGAAGTGAAATATTTCCATGACAAAGAACAACTAAAGAATTTCATGATGACAAAGCCAACCCTACACAGACTACTAAAAGATATTCTAGAGAGGAACCAAAATGACCACAACTCCATGGATGGAAATGGAAAGAACTGACCAAATAGGGCAAACAATTAAACACAGGAGAAAGAGGTGTAAACAACAGCAGGTAAATAACATGTCAATCATAAGTCAATACATCCCTATGGTTATACATTAATGTAAATGGACTCAATTCACCAATTAAAAGAACTAGACTGGCACAGTGGATTAGGAAGCAAAAATCTAACAATATACTGTATACAAGAAACACATTTATCTCGTAAAGAAATTCATAGGCCAAAAGTCAAAGAATGGAAAACAATACTACATGCCCCAGGACCTCAGAAAAAAACTGTGATAGAAATCCTGTTCACAGACAATCTGAACTTCAAGCCAAAAATGATCAAATGAAATAAAGCCACTACATACGCTTTAGGGGAATAATTCAAGAGGAAGAGACAACAGTCATAAATATGTATGCACCAAATATCAGAGCATGTAACTATGTAAGTTCTGTTATTTCTTTGCTGAATTTTGCCTAGTTAATCTACCTCTTTGTGACAGTGGCATGTTAAAGTGGCCCATTACAATTTTATTATCACTCATGTGATTTTTCATGTCAGTTAATATTTGTCTTATATAGTTGGTTATTTCTACACTGGGTACATATATATTTATAATTGTTATCTCTTCCTCCTGCAGTTTTCCCCTAACAAGTATATAGTGACCTTCTTTAACTCTTTGGATGATTGTTAGTTTTAAGTTGATATTGTTAGCAACCAGAACAACTACCCCTGATTTTTTTTTTTTTTTGTTTCTGTTGCATAGGGTATTGTTTCCTATCCTTTAACTTTCAGTCTGTGAATTTCCTTTTGAGTTAAGTGTTTTTCTTGTATGTAGCATATTGTTGGATTTTTTTTCTTTTTTTCTCTTTTTTTGGTAGATCCAGGGATTGATCTCAGGCCCTTGCGCTTGTCAGGCAAGTGCTTATTCTACTTAGACATCTCCCTGGCCCCAGGATTTTGTTTCTTTATCCATTCTACTTGTGTATTTCTTTTGACTGGTAAATTGTGGCCATTTATTGTGATGGTTGTTACAGATATGTTTTGGCTTATTTTTGTCATGTTATTTTTCTGACAAGGGTTCTATACTTAGCCTCCTTTTTAATTACTTGCTGCTTTTGTTTGTTTCTTTGCATTGTTCATGAAGCTGCAGTTGTTCTGTGTCTTTCTAAAATATCTGTGAGTAGTCTTTGTAGTACTGGTTTGGTGCTCATAGATTTATTCAGTTGTTCTTTGTCATGGAAGGCTCTTGTCTTGCCATTGAAGTTGATAGTTTTTTAGGGTACATGAGTCTGGGTTGGACATTATTTTCTTTCATGATCTAAAATACTTCACTCCAAGTTTTTGATGTATTTGTGTTGCTAAATCTGCTGTGGTTCTTTTGGCCTTTCCATTATAGGTAATGTGTCTCTTCTTTCTAAAAGCTTTTAATATTCTATTCTTTTGCTGAATCTCTGGGACCTTGATTAGTATGTGTCTAGATGTAGATTTATTTTGATTATGGATATTTGGAGTTCCATATGCCTCTTTTTATGTGTCAGATTCCTTTATCATGTTTGGAAAATTTTCTGCAATTACTTCTGCAAATAGTTTCTTTGTCATTTGTGCTGACTCCTGCTCTTTTGTTGATCACTATTATTCTTAGTTTTTTCTTTGCATCATCTTGTAGCTGCTGAATTGTTATTTATTTGCTCCTTGTTAGTTTTAAGAAATCTTCTCTTTCATGTTCATTAGCTACACTGCTGTCTACAAAGTCTAAAAGTCCATCATGAGTTTTTTTCAAGCGGTTTTGCCAGCTTTCAGTGAAATTTTTAATTTCCTCAATATCTGTTTCATGCATCCCAATTCTTTTCTGTTGCTTGTTCAATGTCTCCAACATTATTATATTCTCCCTTTTTATCTATATCATTTTAACTGTACTGAGCAATTCTTTCATGATTATTGTCATTTCTGTTTTGGCCTGAGTGATTCTTTCTTTTTTTATATATTTAATTTTATTTTGAAAAGTAAAAGCCAAGCAAGAAAAAAATCAGGAACAAGTAAAGAAATAGGGTAACATACAACATTACATATGTTACAGATTTATAAATCAAGAGTAGCTGCTTAACAATGGTCAACATATTATCTATTTTATCATCAAATCTGTTGCGCACATTAGCAGATATAGTTATGTAAGATTGGATGTAGAAACATACAAATACATATACAGGATAGCTGAGGTGATTCTACTGAAAATCTCCATCAGTCTTTTCAAAATAGCAGTTAGTGTGTAGAATTTTCACCATCACCAACTCTGTATGTTGATAGCTGTGATCTAAGCAACTACATCGAGGACAGAAATGTGTAAGACAAAAACCATGCTTGAATACCTTACATCTTGGTCTTCTAAATATGTGCCACTTCTAAGGTCATATCAATTAGTACTACACCCTCTTTAAAACAAATTTTTAAAAATGGTTAAAAATAAAAAAGACAACAAAAATTTAAGGTTTCTTGAAGGCAAGTGGTAATATCCAAACATATAAGCAATTATTTCTGATTGTATTTCTTCTATAGCTAGATGGACTTGTTTCTTTAATTCAGTTGCTATCATTTCTGAAGTTTTATGTGTTTGACTTCCTCATTTTTCTATGTGTTTGTCTCTTGGATTTGTTCTGGAGTATTTTTCAAGTATATGCCATTATGAAGAAAATTTAGTGGGTTAAATTAGTTCACATTTAAAAATAATAGTTTATATTTGATAAATTGGCCAGTTTTATACTGTCTGTCAGTGGGATTCATATCACATTGTTTTTCATTGTAAGCCATGGGTTATGGACTTTTGAAAGGAAGACCTCAGAATTAAAGTACCATATATATTTGAATTTGTCTGTTCAGTTTCATGTTCTTCATGCTTATTCAACACTTATGCCTGGGTCTTTTTTTTTATAATTATAAGTTATCATGCTGTTTGACAGCTACATTTATTTGTTCAACTTTCATAGTGAATGTAATCTGTGGGACAATGACCAGGTCCTATTTGTGTTTATAAGGATGTTTAACAAGCAAACATTTTCTCATATATTATTAGCATGTACCACATAGACATAAAATGAATAAAGGAGTATGTAAAAGAAACATGAAGTTAAAATAATTATTAATAAAAGTCTATATAGTACATAGCTCATATACTTATTTTTTCCCATAGCTCAAAATTAAGAATGAGATTATGGCAGTCAGTGTATAGAGCAGAAGTACAGTGGTGCCCTTACTTCCATGAACTCATATTTCAGTCCACAGAGGTGAAGAATTGAGATTTAGTTTTATTTTTTTT